ATTACCTGGTGAGACCCCAGTACAATTTCTGAATCAAAGTGTGGAAATGTGCACATTTTTGTTGTTATCTGCAGTGTGTGGGCTAATTATGAACCTAACAGAACTTTTGCTTATGGTTCAACTAATTTCTGCAGTACAAAGTAATCACTTGGAATGTTTAAAAGCCAGCAGTTTCAATTACTATCTGAATCAGTGACACAAAAAGTAATTATTTTATGGTCAAAGCGACATGATACAAACAGTGTTTCCATTGCTATGAAAGTCAATTAAAATGCTCAGGAAAAATAGTGTGGATCCATTTGTCTTTTTCAATATTCCAATAAAAGTGACATTCCTATTTATTTTGATGTATTCTAAGATGAGAGAATTATAATGTAGATTCTCTTTCTCTTGCTTTATTTTAAACAAAAAGGACATAAGAGGTGCATGGATCCCTGCTCCCTTGTCAATTAAATAAAAGTGCCCAGAAAAGATAGCACAGATCCCTCTTTCCCTCGCTATTCACTAAACAAGAAGATGAAAGGATAATGTGGATCCTCCTTTCCCTAGCTATATTCTAAACAAGAGGATGAAAGGATAATGTGGATCCTCCTTTTTCTAGCTATAATCTAAACAAGAGGATGAAAGGATAATGTGGATCCTCCTTTCCCTAGCTATAATCTAAACAAGAGAATGAAAGGATAATGTGGATCCTCCTTTCCCTAGCTATAATTTAAACAAGAGGATGAAAGGATAATGTGGATCCTCCTTTCCCTAGCTATAATCCAAACAAGAGGATGAAAGGATAATGTGGATCCTTCTTTCCCTAGCTATAATTTAAACAAGAGGATGAAAGGATAATGTGGATCCTCCTTTACCTAGCTATAATCTAAACAAGAGGATGAAAGGATAATGTGGATCCTCCTTTACCTAGCTATAATCTAAACAAGAGGATGAAAGGATAATGTGGATCCTCCTTCCCCTAGCAATAATCTAAACAAGAGGATGAAAGGATAATGTAGATCCTCCTTTACCTAGCTATAATCTAAACAAGAGGATGAAAGGATAATGTGGATCCTTCTTTCCCTCGCTATTCACTAAACAAGAAGATGAAAGGATAATGTGGATCCTCATTTCCTTTGCTGGTTAATATGACCCAAATCTCCCTAAACAGAGTTAGCCCTGCCTATTTACACACTAGGTCACTTTGTATTCATAGTTTGTTAGCGTCACCAACTTTTGTGGAGGTTAAGGGGGTGTTCTACTGTTTGCTCGACAAGCTTTCTGTGTTTTCCATTTATGTTTTTATTCCGAGAAAGAGAATGCTATGACACTGCAGCACTCTCATTGGGGTGGGGGGGGGGGGGGAATGTTTTTGGAGTGTAAAAAGCACTGATGTGCTAAAATATAAAACACGCGATATCAACAGTATTGCGGAACACCCCCGTAACCTTCTGTAAAGTTTAGGAGGCTCAGCAACTACCAATCAAAAATGACCTAGTGTGTAAATAGGCATGGCTAACTCTGTTTGGGTAAGATTTGCATAATGTTTACCCCCTTTCTATACACTAAGCCTTTCCTTGTTATAATCTAAAGGAAAGGATGAAAGGATAATATGGATCCTCTTTTTTCCTTGCTATATTCTAAACAAAAAGCTAAAAGAATAATGCAGATCCTCCCTTCCCTTGCTATACTCTAAACAAAAGAATGAAAGGATAATATGGACATGCCTTTTTCTAGCTATACACTAAACAAAAGGATGAAAGGATAATGTGGATCCTCCTTTCCCTTGCTACACTATAAACTAAAGGATAAAAGGATAATGGGGGATCCTGCTTTCCCATGTTATACTCTGAACAAAAGGTTGGAAGATAATGTAGCTTTTTTTGCTATATTGTACAGAAGGATAAAAGGATAGTGTGGATTCTGTGCTACCTTTTTCCATTAGGTCAGAAAATAATAACTGTGAACCCAACTTTTCTGCCTCAAACAGGAAAGGTGTGATGTTGACTACATCATCCACAGAGTGCTAATTGGTCTTTAAAATATGGGTCTAGCCCTATATACCCAATATACCTGATGGCTTGGTGAAGAGTCCTTTACTTTAATTGTATACTCTTCTTGTGGGAGTTGGGGGGCGGGGGGTGAAACTACAGTAGTGTGGTGGCTAGACACTCCACTGTGGTGCAATGGTCATGGGTTAGAATCTGCATCAAGGCTTTTTTATTCTTCAAAACTGACCTTGGCTTAAAATGAGTATCAAGTAATGTCCTGGGAGGTAAAGGCAGCTGTAGTGACACTGATCACATCAATCACCCACTGAGTGCCGCTTAGTCTACACAAAGATAAGTTTAGCATCATGCGCCCGTTATACTACTGGTGTAAAAAAAAGCTCTCTACTTTTCTTTATTACCTTTCTGCAATCTGAAGAAATATTTGTTTGCTTATTTGTATTGTCAAGGATCAATTTTAATGCCCACTTAGATGCCTCCATGAATGCTCATCTCCTTTCATAGAACCAGAGCTTTAACTTTTTGCTTTCAGAAAAATGTATGCTGGTACTCTCTACCATTTCTTCACAAATGACTCCCAGGTCCACCCAGTCTTGATTAGATAGCAGGTACAGTCCTGTGAAGTAAAACTGGCCAGTGTGATGTTGAGCACATCACCCACCAAGTGCCGACTGGTCTATGAAATATAGGTCTAGCCCTGAAGGGGTGTAATAGAATCCTTGCCTTTTGTAACTATTTAAAAAAAATGTTTTTTACTCTTACTAACTTACTTACTTACTTACTCGCTCCTCTTCTACCTTCCTCTGGAGAGGTTTGCCAGAGAGATCGCCAGACGTCTCTTTTCATCAGTTTTCTTTCTGGCTTTGTTCCATTCCAGTCCTCTGTCAGTCAGGGACTGTCAGTTGTTGTCTTCCCAGCGCACCCTGGGTCACCCCGGAGGTCTGGTTTCCTGGTTCTTAGCATTCCATGCCTGCCATGGTGGCCGATTTTCTCCCATTCTGCATACATGTCCAAACCATCGTAACTGTGACTGATCTACTCAGGTTTCTAAGGGGTGGGTATCAAGATCTTGACATATTGTCTGATTGAGGACTTTGTCCCTTCTTGTCACTTGGACCACCTTTCTCAGGTATCTCATTTCCGAGGCCTGCAGCTGGCTTCTGTGAGCTGATGTCATTGCCCATGACTCACACCCATAGGTCAGGACTGGTACATAGATAGAGCGGTAAACAGCCATTTTCGTCCTCTTGCCAATTTCTCTTTTGCTAAGAAACCCTCGGTTTATGGCCTGGAAGAGCCTCCCAGTAGCTGCTTTTCGTGTATCCAGCTCAGTCTTAATGCCTCCATTTCGGTCTAATACAACTCCAAGGTATTTGAACTGGTTAACCTGCTCCAATGCATACTGTCCCATCATGATGTGGTGTTTCTTCTCATCTCTTGATATCTATCTCCATGGTTTTAATTTTGGAGATACTGATGGTCATCCCTCTCTTTTCAAGCTCTTCTTTCCAGACAAGTAAGTTGGACTGAAGGTGTGCCTCTGATTTAGCTATCAGAGCCACATTGTCTGCAAATGCCAGCTCTGATATACAGATTGGTCTCATCTTCCAGTACCCTACAGAGTAATTCTTTGTCTTCTCCTTACAGGTCTTGATGACATCATGCTTCATAATAATGAAGAGTTAAGGTGAGAGAATATCACCTTGTCTAACACCGCTGGTGGTCTTAAATTCTTCTGACTTTTGGTCTGCTGTTCTTACATAATTTCTGCAGCTTTTGTAGAAACTTTGTATTGCACTGATCAAGGATGCTGGGATGTTTTTTTTTTTACTCACCACTGCCTATTAGATAACTGAAAGAATGACGAACAGTACTGTTTACCATTGCAAAAAAATACCAAAAATGAAAGCCCTGCACAGAATACAACTCTAGCCTCAATACAGGGCAGATAACTTGTAGCACTAGCAGGTACCATAATCAAAATAGTCTTTGATGGGTAGGAGAAAGAGACACAGCTGATATCAACATCATGTTGTGCCATTATACATTGCATAAGGCTCAAAGTCTAGTCCTCTGTTCCATTCTATCGTCTGCAATCCTTCTGGTATCAAGGATGGAATTCAGTTCAGCACCTTTGGCCTCTGTCAGCAACATTCTGTTTAGGATTTTTCTGGGACGTCCTCATCTCCTCAGTTCTCCCTGGCATTCACTGGCTGTAAAACTAGCCATAAAACTCTGGTTGTTCATCCACTTTTGGGCTTAAGTCTTGTTCCAGAGCCTAAGTTTTGAGTGCACATCCGTTTCACAGATTTGCCTTATTTGTATGCACACTATCGGTTCCTCGCCTACCAGGCAGATGCACCCTAATTTTGAAGGAATCACCCTCTAATTAGCTGACTTTTATGGCATGCTTTTTGGGGCTGGGGTGGGGGGAGGGGGGGGGGGAGGTCTATTAATTTGTTCCCCCACAATGCGACCCCCACAATTCACACAAGGAATAGCCTCTGTTCATGTTTCCCTTTGCAGTGCCCACTTGTTGATCTCTGCCCACTTCTTTTGAGGTTGTGTCCAACATAGTCCCACCTCCTTTGTCTTATAACTGTTGACACCACTGGTTGTCCAGACATTTGTATTATTTCTTTACCTTTCTTGTAATTTCTCATTTAATTTATGTTAATCAATTTCCCCAGGCATTTGTTTTTGAATGCACTTAATTTCTAAAGCTCCAAAAGCTGACACCTTATATGGAAATCGTAGATAGTTAATACATTCTCATCTGGAATCAGCACACACATTTTAAAATTTTATCTCAGCTCATGTTATATAAATTGATGGAGACATTTTTGGCATGGGTATATGAAAATGTAGGATTATCAACATTCATTACATAAAAATTAAGAGCAAATAAGGAAACAAACAATATAACCTCTGTCGACAGTAACTGATAATGATAGCATTATATCAAGGTGACTAAATGTATGAACAAGCAAACTAGCAGCTCAGAGAAAACTACAATCCTTCATTCTTTATCTGTCCATCTGGTTCTTTTCGCTTCCATAGCCAAATCTGACGATCAATTCCTGAACATTTCCTCATGGTCAAATTCTTCCCATCTAAAGATACTTCTGCACATTTCTGGGTGTTCAAGTGTTGTAAGGCATTGTCCTGCACATAAAACAGAATTGCCTGAATAACAGAACCAAGTTGAATAAAAAATATCAGAAGATACTGCATGTAAGAAAACCATTTTTAAACATCTAAATTGGAATTCTACTCGCACTGCATACCCTAAAGCAGGGCTATTCAACTGGTGGCCTGCGGGCCACATCTGGCCTGCGGAGGCCTAGCAAGTGGCCCGTGGATCATTGACACTTGTATTAAATTAATGATCTGTCTATGCTTGGGCTCATGACTCTGGCCTGTGATGATCCCCATTTTGTAAATTTCAGCCCCTGAGTAAACTTAGATGAATAGCCCTGCCCTAAAGCATGACTGTCGGCGTGAAACATTTGTGCAAAATAACAGAGTACATGCATTGTTTTGTTTTTGTTGGCTGAAAATCTTCTGTGTGTTAAACAAAAAAATTAATGAAAAGGACAATTTTTTGCCAGTGGTGTCTCGGGTTTTTGATGTTAGACTAATGTTTATAGAGACCAGACAGCATTCAGTGGTTGATGTATTGCCAGCCGCCTTTACTTCCCAGGACAATACCTGGTACTAATTTTAGTCTGGCTCAACCCAGGGCCAATTCAGTTTTGAAAAAAACAAATGCTACTCGATGAGGATTCGAACCCAAACAACCTTCAGGCCAGGAGGGAAGCTGCTCAGACATGTGTTATTATAACTATTTAACCTAAGAAGTTGTTACCTGAAAACAGCCTGTGTGGGTTCTGGTTCCCCCATGTGGGGGCAATAGATCCACTGCATCCACCCTCCCCTGCTCCACACACCCCGCCCCCTAACAAGTATGTGGTAAGAGTCGACTAATTAGGGGTATTTTCTTCAAAGTCAGAGTTAAGCCAGAGAGTAACAGAACCAACAGTCTGCATAGAAAAAAGCCAGATCTGTAAAATAGATGTACATGAAAAATTCAAGTTCTGGAACAAGATTTAAGTCCAGAAATGGACAAATAACCAGAACTTTCCATTAGAGTCTACAGTTGATGAACATGAAGAAGAAGAAGAAATTGTAACTAATAAATGTTAAAATCTGCAAAAGTTGAAATTTAAAAAAAAAACATTAAATGTTTACCTATCTCTATAAACCATCTCAATTTTTTTAAAAAATTTCTTTCATCTCTTTCAGCAATTCTCTTTTCATTTCCAATCTCTTCAGAACCTCTGTATTTATTTTTTTTGTTTCCATGAAAAAATGACCTATTAATTTGTACATCAACATCTCTAGACAAAGTTTAATGTTTTTGTTGCTCGTTCATTGTCCAAGCTTTTGCCTCATACACCAGAATTGAGTGTACATAAAAAGAAGAAAAGGAAGAACACAGTGTTCACAACCAGTGTGGTTCACAATGCATATGAAATGAACAACATTAGCATCTATGGGTATACTATGCTGTCAATGGGAGCATCTATGGGTATACTATGCTGTCAATGGGAGCATCTATGGGTGTACTATGATGTCAATGGGAGCATCTATGGGTGTACTATGATGTCAATTCTTAAAATATATAATGTCTAGATTTTCTTTTTAAATAATTTTAACTATATCATTACAAACCAATTGCTTCAATAATATGCAACATTCCTGTGTACAGGTGCTTCATTAGTGGAGTGGCTAGACCCGAAGGTCTTGGATATAAATCTCCCAGGTCAGTGCAGCCAAAAATGGGTACCAGGAAATGAGACTAAGTTACGGCACCTGGCGTGATGTGGACTACAACATCCATTGAGTAGATATAGGTTTTTAAAAGATATGCGTTGTATGCATTATTTGCTTTAAAATGTGTCCTAACTTAACTTATTGCTTACCTCTGTATACTTCCATTCTTGATTGCCTTTCTGACTATGACAAGGGTAGATAATAACATTATCTCCTCCAGCATAGTCCAAACATCCATCATCCCTTCTTATCTCCCCTGCTTTGCTCATCATCCAGTACTAAAAATGCAGCAAGGAAAACGGACGAACAATGTTAAATGACATGTATTATTTTATAATAGAATATTGATAGTCTCAATGGCTTCAGACCACAGGTCAAGTATATTTGGTTAGCATCAACGGAACTATTTCAGTACCAGAATTTTACTTCCTTCCATTCAAACTGTTTTCTGAGTCGGGTCTTCTTCTTCTTTGAATGACTGACTGACTTTCTATCCCACCAGGACATCACACAAGCGATAAACACCCGATGACACAGTGTGCACCATGTGGGTGAGGATCACCACGGAGAGGTCTCAGAAACCGCGTTCAGCCTTTAGTTTATATTCATGGCCAGGCTATATTGCGGCCCCCTGGCAAAAGCCAGAGTAGGGCTTCAAATAACGAAAAATTTCATCCTAAAAAGGACGAGAAGTAACTAATAACTTCTTTCTTTCTTTCTGGTTCTGCTGTATTCATCTGCAAATGTAAATGTGTTCTGCCATTTAAAACATGGCTGTGATTTATATATCTTTCGGCCAACACATTCAACTTCTGCTAATCCAAGTCATTCCTTTGTCGGATGCAATTTTTCCTTATTGGAAGCCCCACCCTAGCTTTTGCTGGGGGCCCTGAATATAGATGGGCCACAAATGTAGCCATCACGGCTGAAAGGGGTTTCTGGGACTTCTGCACGGATTCTCATCCGCATGGTGGCACTATGTGACAATCGTGTGATGTCCTCCTGGTGGGGTTAAAAAGTCAGTCAGTCAGTCGACTTCTGCAGACATTTGTTGCTCCAGTTAGCCCTCTCGGAAGTCACGTCTTGATTAGGTATATTTGAGCTAGGGTATAACAGTCGCCGCTGCGTCCGTGGCTTAGGCGTTGCGAGTCCGGCTCGTAATTCCACATACCGCGATCGAAACCCACTGCTGGCTGCGTGGATTTGTATCATAGTATAGGGCGTCGCAGGTCGACCCAGCCTAAAATAGGTACCAGGATAGCTGTCCTGGGGAAGAAGAGACGGCTGGTGTAATCCTGACCACATTGACCACATAATGCCGATGGTCTGACATATGGGCGCTCTTCCCGTATATCCGATGGGCCTAAAGGCGTGAGAAGGGATCTTTACTTTCAGTCGCCTGCTTTTCTCTGGGCATGCCTAAGCTGGTGATCTAAATTTGACACATAATCTCAAAGACGAAATCTTAGACCAAATTGTAAGAGCTCACCTGATTTCCTCCTTGGTTGTGACATGGCCACATGTTGACTGGTTTATGGTAACTGTGGTGATCTGAAGGGCTGTCAATGCACATTGGCCTGGCTTTACTGCGAATCTGAGAACAGATTATTCTTTGTTTTCTGTAAAGCTAAAAAATATATGAACTGATACATTCACAACTAGGCTTGGCCTGGTCTGGCTACGGTATAAGTAATCACTTTCATCTCAAGTGTTTAGGTCTTCGTCATATATCACACATTTAGAACTGCAGCATAGTGGACACACTAAATAATACCAGCATATACCTTTTGTGCGTCTGTGTACTCATCTCTTTCTCTCTATCTATATATATGTGTGTGTGTGTGTGTGTGTGTGTGTGTGTGTGTGTGTGTGTGTGTGTGTGTGTGTTTGTGCACACCATGTGTGAGTCTATAGGATTGTCTGTGTATATGGTGTGTGTGTGTATTTTCCAACAGTTTTACCTATTCCAACTTTTTCCTTTTATTTCTGTTATTTTGTGTTTGAGGCTGCGGCTTAATGATTATTTTTCTAATGGTTTCAGTTCTTGATAAAGACGCTGAGACGTTGTCATCTTACTGTATCTGTGCATGTGCCCCACCTCACCACACGCAGCCCTTGTCCCGCTGATCCCCCAAGTGCTAGTCTGTGTTTAGTAGGGCTGTACCGAATAGTGATTTACAATATTCGGCCGAATACGAATAGTGGGACCAACTATTTGGCCGAATACGAATAGTGTATCATCATCATCAGGTGCCTTGTCGACTGGCGTGGCGATCATGCCTCTCCACAATCTGCTATCTCCTGCAGGATGTATCAGTTCGTGTGCTGACCCACCTTCATGCCGTGCAGCAAGACTGTCAAGAATCTTCTATCGTTTTCCTCTATCCATCCATCTACAGATCTTTCCAGTGGTCACCAAATGTTCCATTTTCTCTCTTCTCATAACATGGCTGAAAAATGACGACTGTCTCCTTCTGATGTCTGTGATTAGTTGTCTTCGGGCTTCTGCCTCTTTCAAAACCATCGTTCGCTCGGCCGTTCGTTCGATGTAATTTAAACGCACCTTCATATTCTCGTTAGCAATATCTTCAAATTTGATTTGGTCGAAGACACCCTGAAAGAACGAAAAATGCATGATCTCTCTCTCTCTTTCTCTCTTTCTCTCTCTCTCTCTCTCTCTCTCTCTCTCTCTCTCTCTCTCTCTCTCTCTGCCTCTCTCTCTCTCTCTCACACAGACACACACTCACACACATACACACACACCCCCACACACACATGCAGTTTGTACCACGCATCCGGGTCGCAGTTTCTCCCGCTACGACAGACTTAGGCAAAAGCAACTATTGTGTTGATGAAAAAGTTATTTCATTTCGTCATAGTGTATGCAGAAACGAGAGTAAGGTAACCACTATTCGTATTCGGCCCGACCGCAACTATTCGGCCGAATACCGAATAGTTATTAGGTCCACTATTCGGCCCCGAAGCGAATACGAAGTGAATATTCGGTACAGCTCTAGTGTTTAGTTAATTATTTTCTTGGTATCAGCACCAGTTCAGTGACTGACTGACATCCAACCCCACCAGGACATCACACTGAGCGATAAACATCCGGTGACACAAACTGCCACCATTCGGATGAGGATCACTCGTGGAGAGGTCCGAGAAACCCCGTTCAGCCGTTAGGTTACAATAATAGGGGCCCCGGCGACAACAAGGGTAGAGCATCACAAATTCGCCCCACAAGGGAATAGGGATATTTCACCCACTACAAACACACCTACTTTCAACATATTAATATATACATAGACTAAATAATTAGGCCTTAAATCCTCAGGTCTAAGACATCAGTTCCACCCTCCGCCTCACCCTCCCTCCCCACCCTCACTTGAACTGCAAATTCCTAAAGAGTGTAAACAAATTATAATTAAAAAAATGGACACCAGAAAATGAAAACGAAACAATGAAAACCAAACAACGAAAACGAAACATGTATGTATGTACGTATGTATTGTAAGTTGTACCCAACTAGGTCATCACACAAGCGATAAACACCCGGTGACACAAAGTGCTACCATGCGGATAAGGACACCCGTGGAGAGGTCCCGGAAACCCTCTTCAGCCGTTAGGCCATATTTGAGGCCCGGCTATATTTAGGACTCCCGGCAAAAGCCAGGGAGGGGCTTCAAAATAACTAAAAATTGCATCCCACATAGGGAATGACCACATACACAAATGAAACATTACCTCCCCTGACGCCGTAGCTTCTCCGGGGACAAACAGATCTGGGTACACATGTTTGATGTACCAAGAAAAAGGTTTACAGTTCAGGTTTTTCCGAAGTTGTTTTCTGGCAGTTACATCTCCGTAGTCTCCCTGTGGATGGATGACACAGTTCAGGTGTTACATTTTAATTGATAAGTTAAACGTGACAGCCATGCCTTTCTAATCTGCTTTGGATTCTGATTCTTTATCCCCCCCACCCTACCTCAATCCAAGCTATTTTGTGAAGATTTGACCCCCTGATAATACCAGATCTCAGTTTGGATGGTAGACCAACAGGACAAATTCTAACTACCCTGTTTAATCTTTTAAGAAGTTCTAGTTCTGTCACTCGTAAGAATGACCACATATTTTATATTTAATTATTTGTAGCTTAGCTGTTTAAGTTATCCACATCAGTGAAAACAATATATCAGTTTACTAAACACTTTTAAGAATTTCAAATCGTCGACTTTTTTGTGTATGTGGCTGCCTTACAGTTTTAGCAGCTTTATGATATCAAGATTCACATTCTGCACACGGTTCTTCTTTTTCCTCATTCTTCTTCTCCTCCTCCTCATTCTTCTTCTTCTTCTTCTTGCAAACCTCAGTGTCCTCAAGAGGACCTATACAGGCTACGTGAGGCCAACACTAGAATATAGAATAGCTGCTTGGGGCACAGCAGCTAAATCAAATTTTTAGAAAGTCTGAAAGATCCAAAACCATGCTCTCCGTATTATGACAGTGGCAATGTGCTCCACGCCCATATCAAACATGGAGATAATAACTGGTCTCCATGATTTAGAAGATAGTAGAGACACAAAGCTCCCCACCCAGCTCTCAAAATACCACCACTTTAAAGAACAACCCATGCACAGCCGACTGCAGAAACCCCAGAAGGCTAGACTAAAGAGAACGTGTTTTATTAAGAACGCAAATGCCAACTTCCCATAATACCAAATGATCCACTTAAACCTTACAACGACTGCCCCCAACTCCCTCACCCCCTTGGCTTAGGGATAGATAAAATCAACTACAGAAGGAGAGATGAACATACTTTATCCAAACCAGAGTTGGATTAGAGTGTACACAGATGGTTCAGCTAAGAGAGCAGTAAGAGACGGAGGAGGAGGAATATGCATAGAATGCCCGAATAGTTTAAAAATCAACCAGACTGTACCAACAGGTTCAAATTCCTCCAATTAAAGAGCAGATGCAGTAGCATTATGGCGGCATGTTTTCTCTCCTAAACGGAGAACAGCCCAGCAAATATAGCTGAGTGGTCTTTCTGACGTATGCTATGAGTTCTAGAAACAATTGTTAACCCTAAAGAACACTCAGTTTGAAGACTTGACGCGCAACAGCTGATTCACTTAGGCTCTTTAGTAGAACAAAGCTGTACGGTACACGAGAGGATATGGACTGCACGATAGCTTTTATAAAGGCTGCCGGCCTCCTGAGATAAGTTTTTTGACAGAAGGATCAAAGAAGAAGAAGCAGAAGATATCGGGACACCCCACAAGAATAGGAAGTAACCTCCTGTAAGTCTGAGCAAGGAACTATTCTTTTTTTGGACCATAAGAAATATTTGTAATTACATGATTTCCATAAATACAACTACTTTTATTTTTCGTTCTTCTTTCTCCTCCTCCTTCTTTTCTTCTTCTTCTACTTCAGCGTTCGACCTTTAAAGGGCGGTTGGTACATTGAGTTGTGGTTTACAGCTAGGCTGCACTACCTTTTAGCCCAACAATCTGATTTCGGCAAAAATTTAATTAGTCGCCGTTTACGACATGCTTGGGAAGATGAGTTTGTTTTTCTCCCTTCCAAAAATGAGAGCACTTATGAGAATACATGGGCGAATAACAAGTGAAGTGACGATGTGTTCGAGGCAGAGAAAATCACAGGGTAAACTGCAGTGTGCACACTCGGCGATGCCAGTCTACATTTTTACTTCATGCAGCAGCAGAGCAGCGGAAAACAGACAAGGATTTCCAGTTTTTTAAAGTGTTATAGTTAACGGATATGCATTTTCAAAATGTGCTAAACAATTTACTGTTTTTGCTACTGATTGTTTTAAAAGCTTTTAGCTTGTTTGTATAAAATCAAGACAGTCATTTATGGAGATTCTATTAATTAAATCCATTACCCCATTCAAGAAAATATACTTTTTCAACAGTTGTTTATCTCAGCAGAAAAATCAGTTAAAAAAAAAAAAAGATTTTGAAATGTTACATGGTAAAATGCCATGTCTTTACGAATGGTAATAATTTCTGCTAATTTACACTGCAATATGCTTGCACATTAAAGAGAAACAAAAAGACACCCATTAAGACAACATAAAAGACGCTAAAAGCTCTTTAAATTATCTAACAGATAAACAATTTTCAAATTAATGTTACTCCGTTGTGAGTTTAAATAATGCAGAAATAAACAATAAACTGTAGATTCAGTGGCCGATATATTTTTCGATATCTTGTCTTTATGTTCTGTATATTCTTTGTTTTCTTTTTCGCCTTCGTCTTCGTCTTGATTGTTATCGTCTTCGTCCTCGTTATTGTCTTCATCATCATCATTGTCGTCTTCTTCCTCGTCTTTTTGTTGTCTTCTTCTTCTTCCTTCTCCTTCTCTTCTTCTTCTTATTTCGTTTTTTTTTTCTTCTTTCTTCTTTCTTCTTCTTCTTCTTCTTCTTCTTCTTCTTCTTCTTCTTCTTCTTCTTCTTCTTCTTCTTCTTCTTCTTCTTCTTCTTCTTCTTCTTCTTCTTCTTCTTCTTCTTCTTCTTCTTCTTCTTCTTCTTTTTCTTCTACTCCTCCTCCTCCCCTTACCTAGTCCTTGCCGTGTGGCGCTGGTTGTCAAGGAATCGTCCACATCCCACTGCCTCGTACGCTTTGAACAATTTCAGACACTATTGTTTCCTCGTAGCATGAAGCCAGACTGCCCGGCATCTTTTCTATGCGCTGTACACCACATACATAATTTAGTTTAACAGTAATGTGATTAACTTACACTGGTCACTGTGTAAACATAAATATGTGTAGCACTTGTAATTTGATAAGAGATGTCCTGTTTTTACTTTCCATAACTAAGACTCAGATGTTTTGATAATGTTTAATAATACTATCTGCTAAAGTGGTTATGAATTTCATAATGTATACATGGAGTGAGGCCAGAAGGGCAGAATAACCCTTTGAAAATAATAATAACCCTTTGAAAATAATAATAACCCTTTGAAAATAAAGTTTCTGGATTAAAACAGGGATAAAAAGTGTTAGTCTTTGAAAATAAGCGAAGAAGCCTTTTCATGCTATTGCACACCGGGCTTACTGTACTAGAACGATATTTTTATAGATCAGTCGGCACACAATGGGTGATAGGGTCAACACCATGCCAGCCGCCTTTACTTCCCGGAAATTACTGGTACCTTTTTTAGACTGGGTAAAACCTGGAGCCAGTTGCACATTTGGAGAAAGAGATTAGCCTTTGTTCGGATTAGAACTCTAGACTTTTAGGAGCGAGCTTACACTATTAGCTTCTTACTGCTGCAGAGATTATACTGACTTGTGTACTATACAGACTTGTGTACTATACAGACTTGTGTACTATACAGACTTGTGTACTATACCGACTTGTGTACTATACAGACTTGTGTACTATACAGACTTGTGTACTATACAGAGTCATCAAAGAAGAACTAAGATAGAAAAAAAATGATAGGCATGGTGCCGGTAATTGATTTACAGAGTATCAAAGAATTAAATGGCTTTGTTCTCTGATCAGAATGGAGCACAGACAGCCAGTAGAACAGTGGCTCTTAAACTTCCCAATGCCGCGACCCTTTAATACAGTTCCTCATGTTGTGGTGACTCCCAAACCATAAAATTATTTTTGTTGCTCCTTCACAACTTCAGTGAATACGCGTTTTCCGATGGTCTTAGGCGACCCCTGTGAAACGGTTGTTCGACAACCCTCACCCTCAAATGGGTCGCCACCCACAGGTTGAGAACCGCTGCTCAAGAAGTACGTCAGGGGAACAGCAGGCTACAAAGCAATAGGCTGACCAAGAAAGGAATAAGCGGAGGGCATAACAGATACTCTAGAAACGCAGTATAACATTAACACAAGCCACGGCCGACTATAAATACAGAAGGGCCTGCACGAGCTAGGCAACTAGCAAAAACGGAAACTAAATCTGACTCCTCTGTGACGCTTTAGGCACAAGCAGTAGTACAAAGCAAGAAGAAAGAAGAAGTGTGCTATTGACCAGAACAGAAACAACGGAATATTCCAGAAAATAAACTGTGCGACCTGTTGTTTGTATTTTCACTATTCGGTCATAAAGGATATAATTAATAAGATCTTAAACCCACGCGAAACTGGATTACCTGTTTACTTTTTTTAAAATTAGGTCAGTGTTTCCAAAACTTTTCTTGGTCGCGGCGCCTTTTTTTCAATAAAAAATTTTCTACGGCGCTCTAACCTACGTCAAAACTCTAAACTAAGTAAAGTATGACTATTCGTGTCTTGGCTAAATGAATTATGAAGCTTTAACAATATTTCGCGGCGCCCCTGTGAAAAGGACGCGGATGCCAGGTCGCACAGTTTGGGAATCACTGAATTAGATAGTAACAGTGTGTTTTAAAAGCAGAAATCTATGTACGATTTATGTTTCACAAAAGTGTTTCCACTACCGGTTGGCTATTAACGCTAATGTGGGATGCCGTATACCAAATCTTATATCCCACATTGCGCCAACATTTTCGGGAGGAGGAGAAGTACATTGAGGATGATACTACCGTTATCCTTGGAAGAGTAAACGCAGCCTAAAAACTCAGTACAATGGCACTGCAGACCAAAAGCCCTAAGTTTCGGTTGGCTACTTGTCTAGGAGGGAAGCTCCTAAATGTGGATGGACCGAGCACCGCTATTTTGACCAAGCAGCTTCTGCATCATACTTCATTCTAATCGTATTTTTGTTACCTTTTCTTTTGAATAAACAAGGTCATGGTTACAGTGACAGATAGTCGCTCAGTTTTGCAACAACAATTCAACATGCTAAGATCTGTGCTAAATCAGATGGGTAAGCTAACAAGGCAGACTGCTCCAGTGAATCCCAGGCCACCGCAACATTAGAGGAAATGAAAGAGCAAACTACATAGTGTACACTGGAAGTCACACTTAACAGCCAGATGCAGGATGCGCTCAAGAGGGAAAAACAGTTAAGATAAAGGCAGCCATTTGAATCAACTGGGACCTTTCCAAATCCGGAAACAATCCTGAAAACCAGATCAACCTGCTCACATGAAAGAAACAGACCATTACATTTAGATTTCCACTAACAAAAGACAAATCTGCAGCCATATGTGCAAGAAATTCAAGACTGGGCATTCACAGCTTTGTCCATGTGGACAGGAATACCTAGTACTGAACATGTGCTACATGCATCAGAGAGATCCCGAGTTTGTGGAGTAGAGAGATCCCGAGTTTGTGGAGTAGAGAGATCCCGAGTTTGTGGAGTAGAGAGATCCCGAGTTTGTGGAGTAGAGAAATCCCGAGCTTGTGGAGTAGAGAAATCCCGAGCTTGTGGAGTAGTGAGATCCCGAGTTTTTGGAGTAGAGAGATCCCCAGTTTGGCCGGTTGGCATTCCAATGGAAACCAAGCTGTATGGAACAGTGGAATTCATGCGACGCCTTACAGACTTCACAGAAGCATGTGGCCTTCTCATCTGAACACCACTGGTGGGGAGAACGAAGATAATAATAATAAGAAGAAGACGAAGAAGAAGAAGAAGAAGAAGAAGAAGAAGAAGAAGAAGAAGAAGAAGAAGAAGAAGAAGAAGAAGAAGAAGAAGAAGAAGAAGAAGTAAAAGTAAATAGTTGTTTACTCTTTCGTTTGTTTTAATCTATAACAAAATCACTTCACTCCAATACTTGTTTGTACAAAACTACAACATAATATTTGACAGAACAGACATAATATTTTATATTTGTAAACTCATGCAATATACTTACCAAATCGAAATTGAATCGCTCGTAGTAATACGTCTTATAATTATCCATCCAAACCTCGGCCAGACGTATCGTGTTCTTCTTCACGACATTCACCCCTGTCCTCCATTTATATGGCGAGCGTTTACGGAATATATGTCCGACGTGAGAGCAAGGAACAATCTCCAATGTCCCTCCACACATCCAGACCTACATGGAAGAAGAAGACAAAAGAGTTCTTTATGTATCGGTATTTGTGTATATTTTAATGAATTTCACCTGATTTTGTGTGTGTGTGGTGGAGGGAGTGGGAGGGGGTTGGGGTGGTGTAGTGGCTAAACGCTTGCCTGCGAATCGGAAGGTTGTAGGCCTGGGTCCTGATGGAGCTGAAATTTTTGGGTTTTTCTCCTTCACAAATGACCTTGGCTCCCAAGTTGACCCAGCCTTAAATGGGTACTATGTGAGGTCATGAGAAGTAAAGGCGACCTGCGTGATGCTGTTCAAATCACCCACCAAGTACCGACTTGTCTATAAAATATAGGTCTAGCCCTATATGCCTAATTCGCACGAAGACGTGGAAAAGGGTCTGATACATTATATATTTTCTCAAACACATACAAAACAAAATTATGTGCGCTCTCCACAATGAAGGTTTTCTACAGCGCATTCGCTCGTGTCTTTGGGGCTACTAGAAATGAATCCAGTGAACTACCACTTAAGAGCCTTCGCGAACCGTGGCCTTTCTCGACATGGACTAAGTTCGACATGGACCACATCCGGCTTTTTCTTTCTAAAGATATTTAAAGATGGCCGTGCATGGACTAAGTAAACAACAATAATAAAGGGGAGAGTACTCCATCTACTGAGGGGTCATGTGCAAAACTATAAAAAAAAAAAGGTGATGTAAAATGAAAAAAAAAATAAAATAAATTAAAAAACAAAGAAAGAAAGGCTCGTAAAATAGTCAAAAAATATAGAGAAAATTATAATATATAATAATAGTAGGAATAAACGAGTGGTAGAAATATAAATGTTACTGATTTATGACTGCTACTGATAAGAGATAGAATAAAATAATAACACAAATAAACTAAAATAAGCATACAAATAATACAACAAAAATACAAATAATGTGACAATAGTAAAACTGAGAAAAGTTTGAGAATATTACATACTGAGTTCCCAACCTCTTCCACGGTGCGACTCTTTTACTACTGTCCAAAAGCAATATAACTTTTTTTTAAATACACTGTCCACTGCAGAAATCCAACCCCAGTACTCGAAGATTATAAAATGTTTGCTGTCGTGGACATATGCATCCACCGGTGACTTTGGAAATATTATTTAGTGAGGTCTAAATATCCTCAACAGTGCAACTTTCGTACCACTGTACAAAGGATTCGAACCCTTCTACGTAGAGAATTGTGAAAGGCGTTCGCTAACCTCCGATCCATAGAGATATGTTTATTCGACAGCATGAAACACACACACGTCACTAACACGTCATACCCATGTCCAAATATAGACTCGCCGCCAGCAGTAGGTTAAACGTAGTCGAGTTTACCATTTTTGTTTATAAAACAGAGAGGACAATCCTCTCACTCAACGATCTACACGTGCCAGCAATTACCAGACAATCCTCTCACTCAACGATCTACACGTGCCAATAATTACCAGACAATCCTCTCACTCAACATCTATACGTGCCAGCAATTATCAGACAATCCTCTCACTCAACGATCTACACGTGCCAGCAATTACCAGACAATCCTCTCACTCAACGATCTACACGTGCCAGCAATTACCAGACAATCCTCTCACTCAACGATCTACACGTGCCAGCAATTACCAGACAATCCTCTCACTCAACGATCTACACGTGCCAGCAATTACCAGACAATCCTCTCACTCAACGATCTACACGTGCCAACAATTACCAGACAATCCTCTCACTCAACGATCTACACGTGCCAATAATTACCAGACAATCCTCTCACTCAACATCTATACGTGCCAGCAATTATCACCTACAAAGCTAAAGTTACACTGTATATTTTATGATATATTTTAGACACACGTGAATCCACAAAAGAGAGACGGAAAAAAGGAAATAAATTTTTTCTGGAGTGGGTGAACGGATTATTATTTGAATTTGCATTGATTTTACTGAGAAAACTAGCTTCGGTTGGCGAATGGATTGAAAAAATGAGTTAAGTTTGTGACCCGACATTATTGTGTAAAAAGCTTTTTTTTCAATCATGAACTTTTCTTATTTCACTTTTTTTTTTTACTTCTTTTATTTCATACAATTAACAATTAACTAATGGTTGGTTTACTGGACACAAGATTGTCACAATAAAGTTTTTTTTTCTTCAAATTTGTAGTGCATGCATACTTTATCATATAGTTTAATGGAGATACGAGTTTGACTAATTATCTTTACAAATAATTATCAGTAATTTTTCCCCCACGACCAATAAAAGCACGGGGAGCCTAAATAACAATTTGTATTACTCGACGCGACTTCTCACAAGCCACTATTATTATAAATTGGATTTAGTTGTTATGTATACGTATATTATATGTAGTGCGTGGATTTTTATCATGGTATGGGACGTCGCAGGTCGACCCAGTCTAAAATAGGTACCAGGATGTATGTCCTGGGGAAGTAAAGACGGCTGGCGTAATGCTGACCACATTACCCACAGAGTGGCGAATGCTCTGTAAAAATGTGTGTGCTCTTCCTGTATATCCATTAGGGTCGTAGAGGTGTATTGATGGAAGCACTAGCACATAAAACCCGCAAATTTTCTCTTTCTTACGCTTGATGAATAAGTGTATGATAACTTAAAAAACTTAGCACTGTCCATTTCTTGATGTCCCTCCAGGTTCTTCTTTGCCTCCTCTTCGACTACCCCCATCCCCCCGCCCCCAATGTTCTTTGAAGCAGTCCTTGCAACCGAATCATGTCTCACTACGTGCCCAAACCAAGCTAGTTTGCGACGTTTTACCACTGCCAAGAGAGGCTCCTTATGTCCTGCAAAGTTGTATATTTTTTAAAATCAGTTTCGTGCTCTAAATAAGTATTTCGTAAAATGCGTCTGTAGCATTTACATTCGGAAACCTGAATCCTCTTTTTTATTTTCACAGTGAGAGTTCAACTCTCACATCCGTATAAAAAAATAGATAATACCAGTGATTTGTAAATATTGACCTTAACTGCGATGCTGATTTTGCTCTTCCACATCGTATTCAGCTGGGGCATCGCGGCTGTTACCATATCAAGTCTTGTCTTGATCTCTTTGGTACAGCTGCCGTCGTTACATACGTGGGTGCCATGATATTGAAAGGTTTAACCTTTTTCTAGTTTTCCCCCTTTTATCTGTATGTTGGTAGGTTTAAACAAATACAAGATTGCCAATGATAGCTTAAACAAATACAGGATTACCAGTGACAACCCAAGTAAATACATGATTGGCAGTGACAATTTACATAAATTCAAGAAAAGTAAAATCTTAAGTAACACTTCAAACAAAACAATTAAAATCTTACCCGAAACGATAATTCCAAGTTTTCTCCGCCCCAGATGTCCATGCCGGCATCGTAGGTTCCCAATTTTTGAAAATATTTTCTACTGATGGCAAACAGACCTCCAGCCATCGTAGGTGACCTTATGTATGAGGAAAATATACTTCAATCTTCTACCTGAGACTTCGTTATGATCTCTCACTCAAGAGACGTGCTAGTGATATATACAGTTCTTCTTCTCTTCCTCCTCCTCCTCCTCCGTCTTCTCCTTCTGCTTCTTCTTCTTCTTCTTCTTCTTCTTCTTCTTCTTCTTCTTCTTCTTCTTCTTCTCTTCTTCTTCTTTTTCTTTTTCTTTTTCTTTTTCTTTTTCTTTTTCTTCTTCTTCTTCTTCTTCTTCTTCTTCTTCTTCTTCTTCTTCTTCTTCTTCTTCTTCTTCTTCTTCTTCTTCTTCTTCTTCTTCTTCTTCTTCTTCTTCTTCTTCTTCTTCTTCTTCTTCTTCTTCTTCTTCTTCTTCTTCTTCATCTTCTTCTTCTTTTTCTTCCTGTCATTTCACATAGATCTTCAGCAAGTTTATGACCGGCCCGTTGCTGACCTATTCACAACTGGTTGGATTTTGTAGCTGCATGTTTTGTTTTACAAGATGATATAGCCAGTCACACCCCAGTTCTTCTTAGTTGCCTCTTACGACATACACGATAGATGAGAGTATCACTAATATTGTATACACTTAATTATACCCTAAGAGGAGCTGCTGGCCGTACGGTTAAGAATTCAGGGATTTCATGTGGGAGACCCACGTTCGAATCTTCGGTAAGGTTGTGGATATTTTTTTGTGTCTGTCAGGGGCAAACAAACACCATAAACGGTAGAGTGCGTGGCAACATCACCTCCACGCGGCTAGGAATCCTCAGGCTAAATAACCAGTGCCTCTCACCCACCCCCGGTCGCCTACACCGCAAAAGTGGTAAATACAGGTAATAATGAGACAAAAATTACTAATATCTTATGGTAAAAAGGTGTTAACATAATCCTGGGATACACATCTTTATGTTCTTGATAAAAATATATAGGCGATCTTAGGCTATATGACCTTTTTAACACGTTATAGATAATCCTATATTATAGGGCTTTGTGATCTTGGTGGAACTGCACAAGTAGTTCCCTCAGACAAGTCTGTGTGAGCTATATAAAGGCTGAGGTAATCTCTTGACTCAGGTTATATAATCTTGATAATCTTTAAAGGTAATCCCATGATGTAAGGCATTTGATTAACAGGTAAAAGCGCAAAGGTAATCCCATGATGTAAGACATTTGATCAACAGGTAAACGCGCAAAGGTAATCCCATGATGTAAGACCTCCTTTGTTTCCCTTGACTTTACGTGGTGCCCTTTCTAAACTGGTTAAACTTGGGAGTCAGTGTCCCTTCTCTAACCTCCTCCCCCCCCCCCGCACCACCCCCGAGGAGATTCAAACCCCAGACCTTCGGGACGGCAGGTGAGCGTCCAATCACAACGTTGTCCTGACTCCCGTTTAAAACTGAGAAGAGAACATGCTGAATTTAATCAGGTCATATTCTCCTACTGTGGGCTGTAGACAAAGTAACACCTCTCTTACCTCACAGGTGTAACATCACTTGTTCTTCGCTTGCGCTCATATTCAGGTATGGCATGCCAGGAAAACTGCATATTCCAGTCGAAGCCTCCGATGCTTGTGGATCTGGCGTTACTGTACTGATATTTGAGTGTATCGTCCTCTATAACGTCAATAACTGGACACACAACGTTCGTCTCGTTAGCAGCGATTCGATCCAGCAGAGGCTCCAACCATCCTGTAGATGTATTATTATGTACCACAGTTAAAAGAAAATTTGCATGTATTTTACAGGACTTTGCGTCACTGACCATAGTATTTTCTGGCTGTTGTATTTTTTCTTGGCAAATTTACGTTTTGTAGGTTGCTACTGTACTAAACGGGCGGTTTTCGATAGTACCGTCAAAACCAAAACAAGGCAGTCTGCTGCCAAATCGTATGTAGCTTGGATCGAATCCAGCACTCAGACATTACGAAGCGCGTTCGCAACGCCTAAGCCACAGATGCAGACGCTGTACGAGTACTCTTTAGAAGAACCTCGTTAACGTCAACTAGATTAAGACGATCACTCACTTAACATGAAATAATCTTTGATCCAAGCGGAAATGTTTATTTATAATGCATCTGTTAGTCCGTAGTTAGTAGAAATGGTTTTAACACGAATTCTTGACTTATCGGTCTTTGGAAATTGTGTTAACGGCGTTTTATTGAATATGTAATAGATCCCAGCTGGCAAATCATAACAATCTGACTGCACAAAATCTACAACCTTAATGCAACTGGGACTACATGCCCAAGCTCAGTGTTAGGGAATGTCTATTGCATTTTTTGTTTCGTTTTGTCTAGGGTGTTTATTTAAAAAAATTTTCAATAAAAAAAAAAAAAAAATTACCCACTCTTACTGATAATGCGGTTTAAACGGCGCTGATGTTGAAATAACTATATATATATATAAAAAGGAAAGGTCCCTTTTCAATGCCATTAGGCGTATAGGGCATATAGAGCTGTTACCTATATTTGTGTAGACCAGTCGGCACAAGATGGGTGATGTGGTCAGCATCACGCCGACCGCCTTTACTCCTCGGGAGCAAGGTCATTTCTTAATAAAGTCCGGCTCCGCCAGGGAGCGAACCCAACTACCTTCCGATCCACACGCGAGCGTCTAGCCACTACGCCACAGCGACTATAACTATAATAATGATGTTTTAATGTTATTTATTACTTATAATATAAAACTACGTAAAAACAGTCAGAAACCCCATTGTGAGCCAAGCTCTTTCAATCTGTAGGAGTTAACATAAAAAAATTGCCAAACAATTTAAATTAATCATTTTGAGGATATGTATTCGCCCTGTGGCAACAAACAGATATATTCTTTTTTTTTTTTTTCGAATTTTTTTCCGTCACCTGCTTTAGACTCCGGGGGAGGATTTTTATTTGTTCGTCCACGTCTGAACTTTAGTCTTGTTCCAGAACCTTAATAATGCGTGAGCCTCCGTTTGACAAATCTGCCTTATTTGTAAGCAGACTGTTGGTTCCTCGTTTCCCAGGCAGATGCACTTCCACTTCGAAGGAATCACCCACAAGCTTAGTACATTTTTACGACACACTTAGCAGTAGGCAGTGGTACTTTTCCCACCCTCTCCTCCTTTTTCATATAGGGTTCCGAAAATCAAACCAGGGGAAACAGTTATGATTCACAAAGCCTTTCTTCTATGTCTTTGTCTTAGTCGAGGTTTCAACCTCACTGCACTCGGGTTTCCTCATCCTTGCGTCGTTCCTGTGCCAGTGAAAATCAAATGAAATGTACCTAACTGTCCCATTTGTAAAACTAATTTACAAACAATTAGTCGTGACACAATCCAGAAATAGGCACACGCAATAAATGCATACAGCAGTTATAAGACGGTCCAAAGCCAATAGTAGCCAACAGAAATGCAACGTGTCGTTGCTGGAAGTAGCTGGACACGATTTGGCTATACAAACGAAAACTTTTACATAACGTTTTTCACCAGCTCACATGTAAACTGGCTACCGGCCATATTATTGAATGTATAAGATACCCTGGACAGCCAGAGTAACTAGCAACGATTGCTTGAAAGAGGCTGATGAAAGTAGATCTCTATATACAACTATAAGAAAGAGACAAACACTGTTCTTTGGTCACATAATGAGAAAAGAGACACTGGAGAACATCGTGACAACTGGAAAAATAAGTGGGAAAAGTGTTAGATGTAGATCAAGATAGATGATGCTGGATGGGCTAAAACGATGGCATGGAGGGATATCATCAAGAGAGCTGTTCCTGTCAACCAGGGATCGTGATATGTAGAGACGCAAGAGCGCCTACGTCAGTTGGCAGAGCACATGATGATGATGAGGATAAGATACGTGGTTGTTTGCTTCAGCAGAGGGACATATCTATGATTTAAACCAAAAGACAAATCTCCACATGGGTCTCTGCGTCCCATTTGGGAAAACAAGAATGGACCCACAACCTCTCAAACATGTTGTAATGGGTGACCAATTAAGGATAAAATCGTATGTGCCGGGTGAAATGGTCGGCTCTGTGGCTAAGTCGATGCGAACGCTTCGTAATGCCGAGATACCGGGTTCGATCCTTGCCGTGCCTTGCTTTGGTTTCGACAGTGGTATCAAGAAATCTGACCGTCCAGAAAGCAATGGCAAACTACTGGACGTAATTTGTATAGAAAAACCCCACAACAGCCAGGGACTGTTGGGATTGGTTCTGCAACGTCCTGTAAAGGATACGCAACTAACTAACCATAGGGTGAAATGGCGCAGACATTGCAGCTTAGCAACAACTTTCATTAGACCTTTCAAGAGCGAAGGCAGATCAATAATAATAATAATAATAATAATAATAATAATAATAAGAAGAAGAAGAAGAAGAAGAAGAAGAATAATGAAACATGCATATTACCCTCAGTGCATTCGCAGTGAGAATCCAGGAACGTGACCACCTCTGCTGTGGAGATGGCGAAGCCTGCAAGGCGAGCTCTAATGAGACCCTCTCGCTCTTTTGTGCGTGTAATCTTGACTTTGGCCAGTTTTGCAACGTAATCCTCTAATGGTTTTTTCAGGTGATCTGGAAGCAAATTGCAACTCATTACATTAATGGACTCGGAGAACCGAGTTCCAGGGGCTTCAAACATTACGTAGTTAGAGCAATTTTGTTTTCTCTTGCTGCATTTAATCTCGCAGTGGAGCACAGGCCTATTAGTTATTTAGTCGACAGATTATCCTCATTGCACATCGAACCATTCAGTCCATAAGTGCTGGAATCCTTTACTTAGTTAATCCCACAGGGTGTAGGGGCTGACGAAACCCATTCTGTGTTGGTTTTATCTTTTTCTTTAGCTTTCTGCATAGTTCTCTTGTCTGGTTAAAAAAAAAAAAAAAACAACAACAACCTTTGAACTTGCTATATTTGCTCTTTGGTAATGGTTGCAGATTCAGCCATTCTGTTGTCGCAAAAGTCTCGTTTCTCGTAGAACATTTAGTATATCGGACTGGACCATGGCTTGTCCTCCCACCCCCCTTTTAAAAAAAAAAAAAATTATTTTCACCACAGTAGCCTTACATGCAAGTCTGTAGCTTACTCAATGCACGCCTGCGTGACTTGTACAAAAATTAAACTGATATTTTTCAGGTCCCACCACCACGAGACACCAACAATTTTTGTCTGACCCAGCATCCTCTGTCTAACCCAGCAAGCCCATCAAATCACTGAGTCACTAACTGGGTCACTCATTGAATTACCCTACTAAGTCCTATCAAGGTCTTTGTGGACTTGTCCAATGTTAGCAGAATTCTACAGCTTCTCAAAGTGCTCGATTCCGCTCATGTTATCGAAAGAAACGCAAGGATGAAACATAAGGCATCAACAGACTGCAAACTTTCGCTTTGCTAAGCTGTGTGCATTGTGCGAGACCTTTCGCGTGAATTTCATTTGGAATGCTTTTCAAGTGCGCCCAGTGAGGATTTGGTCGTGATTTAGAAAACAGAAAGCGTTCATATGCGGATACTACTTGTATAACTGCTGGTTTCATTGACAATAACCTGCTATTCTTGTGGAGGACTGTTAGTGCTGGCATTTCTGACTGCTATCTTGTGCGTTTGTGTATGCTGCTGGCTTTGATGAGACTACAGTCTAATAAAATTCTCTCATACACATACACTCCTAAACACACATTCATACTCACATACAAACACACATACATATATGAATGCACACATATATACAGATAGGTTTAGATGTATGTGCTTTTCGGTCCAACACATTCGATCTGAGCAAATCCTAAATTAGTCGCCTTTTATGAGACGGGGAAGGGGGCGGGGTTGAGGGAAAGGGGGCGGGGGTGGGGGGCAGTATAACTTTATTGACTTTACTCCCCCCCCCCCCCCCCCCCCCAGACCACTCCCACCAGACATGTGATGATAAAAGAAGAAAAATAGAAGCCATGCAGAAATGTTACCACAGACAGCAAAACGTATTTTAGAGAAAAGAAAGTTACCAGAAAACAAATCAATACATTGAATAAAAATATGAATGCTTCTACGGATATGGCAATAAATGTTCAAGACACACGTTGAATCCTGACGCCTTACCCATGTCAGAAAAGTCGTCGACGAGAATGATCTCCCTAAGAAGGTGCTGGGGAGTTCTGTCTATGACACTGTGGATGGTACGCAGCAACACCGACCAGGCTTCGTTATGAAAGCAGATGACAACGCTGGTGGCTGGCAGGTTGGTGTGGTACTTCTGCTTCAGGCACCTGTGGAGATGAAGAAGAAAGAGGTTTTGTTTTGTTACGACGTCCGCCTCAGAAAAGGTATAACTGAATCAATGAACATTTTGCTGAGTTTTGCAAAAAAAGAAGGATGGCACACTTCTTCCTGATCTGAGGCTGTGGATTGAACTAACTGACTCCAGTAGGGCTAACCCGGGCAACAACGTATGCAGAAGTCGGATGTGTCGGCGGAGGGGCGCAAATATCGCAGTCATGTTGTAAACGGACACAACGCAATTACGCCTTCGGATAAAAGAAGAAGAAGAAGAAGAAGAAGAAGAAGAAAAGGAGGAGGAGAAGAAGAAGAAGAAGAAGAAGAAGAAGAAGAAAAGAAGAAGAAGAAGAAGAAGAAGAAGAAGAAGAAGAAGAAGAAGAAGAAGAAGAAGAAGAAGAAGAAGAAGAAGTAGAAGAAGAAGAAGAAGAAGAAGAAGAAGAAGAAGAAGAAGAAGAAGAAGAAGAAGAAGAAGAAGAAGAAGAAGGCTGCGTCTGGGCCTTTACAGCACACATACACACACATACACGCACACTTATCTGCACATATACCCGTTACAGTCTAAACAAAAGCCACCTCGAGAACTTAATCGGACGTCACTCAAATCGAGCTCCACAATAGAATAGTCTTATTGCCATTATCCCTCCATTTCCTTCCACTGTCCCCCACTTATCTGGATAATTTCCCTTGTCAATTGAGATGAGCACTGACTACAGAGTCCCGCACTCTGTAATGGGATATAGTACTCCGACTAGTCTAAACCACGTTAGCAACAATGCATTTAGACAGGTCCAAATCGGCGCCCTAGCACTAAAATCGATAGGCAATTTTGTAACTAAGTCTAGTAATGACACAGTGTTGAGCTGCCAGTTGGTAACAGGACGGGATGACGCAAGCGGCCAGTGAGTCGTTGTTAGAAGAGATCAAAGGCGACTAGTGGGATTTAAAATTAAGTCAAGGTCCCTTTTCCACGCCTTTAGGCGTATAAGGCATATAGGGCTAGTCCTATATTTTTATACACCAATCGGCACAAAATGGGTGATGTGGTCAGCATCACGCCGGCCGCCTTTACTTCCGGGGACTGCACCCGGTACCCACTCAAGGCTGGGTCACAGTCATCTTTAGATATAAATAGGCCAACTGGATCAACGGGGATTCCCGTTCTTGTGCAAGAATTGAGTCCTTCTGTGTTAACAGTTTTTATCGAGGAGATGTATACACAAATTAAACTAGTTTCATTAATTTTCTACATATTTTAAAGAACTATACGTCATTTTTAAGGTAAATAAGTGTGCCAAATAAATATAACAATAAAGGCTCTTACAGACCCCCCCAAAAAAAAATGCGTTTGCTACAGTCAACATGAACATAGACATCAATAACGTTTAGATGAAAACTAAAAGTTGTTCCAGCAAAAGTAAAGAAATATCAGTGCTAACTCTTTGATTCTGAGAGGGTATTGTTGCATCAGAGGAGCGGGAGGGGGGAGGGGAAGGGTGACATTTGTACTTTATCAAATTTAGCGCATACAAATACTGCTACACATATCATACATAACATAAATATAAATAATTGATGGTTATATTATTAGTAGACTACTACAACATATAATTATACTTTTATTTAATAATTAGTAAACAAGCACAATGAAATTGATATGTGCAATACTTTTTCACCCAGAATAGTTTTCTTAGCAGTACTTATAGCACTACTAAATATGTATCCTCAAGGTACAAACAGCACAAACAAATTTGTCCAGTTTCATCGTGTTGGATGAAATCAATTCCTTACCATTACGAATTTTTTGGTAACAAACATGCATAGGAAGTGGATGAACAACCAATAGTTTCTGCAAGAGTTTACAGCCAGTGTTCACGACGCAAAGCAAAAGCCAGTTTACAAAAATTAACAGACCGTACAACTGCAAATATGCAAAAGAAGTCGATGAACAACCAGAAGTTTCCGCAAGAGTTTACAGCCAGTGTTCGCGAAGCAAAACAAAAGCCAGTTTACAAAAATTAACAGGCCGTAGAACTGCAAATATGCAAAAGAAGTGGATGAGCAACCAGAAGTTTCCGCAACAGTTTGCAGCCAGTGTTCGCGAAGCAAAACAAAAGCCAGTTTACAAAAATTAACAGACCCTAGAACTGCAAATATGCAAAATAAGTTGATGAGCAACCAGAAGTTTCCGCAAGAGTTTACAGCCAGTGTTCACGAAGCAAAACAAAAGCCAGTTTACAAAAATTAACAGACTGTAGAACTGCAAATATGCAAAAGAAGTGGATGAGCAACCAGAAGTTTCCGCAAGAGTTTACAGCCAGTGTTCACGAAGCAAAACAAAAGCCAGTTTACAAAAATTAACAGACCGTAGAACTGCAAATATGCAAAAGAAGTTGATGAGCAACCAGAAGTTTCCACAAGAGTTTACAGCCAGTGTTCGCGAAGCAAAACAAAAGCCAGTTTACAAAAATTAACAAACATATAATTATACTGTTAGTCAACAATTAGTAAAGAGGCAAAGAGTGACTTGCTGTAGGAAGTTAGTTAGTAAATTAAATATTATTTTCATCCACTTACCTAGAGCTCCGAAATATCTTGACACAATTTATCCACAGTGTGTTGCACCATTTATGCACAGTCAATTTGAAAGCAATAGTTTTCTTCAAACACAAGATAGTTTGCACCTGACAACTGTCGATATTCTCCAGATATGGCTTCTAAATTACCTGTTTGTATTAACCCTAAAAGTAAGATTTCTACATTTAAAGTAGAAAAGTAATAAACAGCCAGTTCCCAAAAATCCGAACTATTGACTAGAAACAGTGACACTGACACACACATCACAACACGACTGTCTCCCGTGAATTACAATTAAAATTGCTGTAATCTTACAGCCTGTATGTCCACTTTACAATATCCGCTTGTCTATTTGTAATACGAATACAATCAGAACACAGAAGTTTGTAAGCACATTATAATGTCACAAAATGCAACATGGAAACGCTTGCAATAACCTATTTTCGAGGGGGACTTCTCGAAAATGTGCCGTGATTCAGTTGTACGGCCTGACTGGAGAAGGCCGTGGCTGGGTCGACCTGGGAGTCAAGGTCATTTTTGAAAAAAAAAGACCAGTTGTGCCAGGGAGCGAACCCACGACCTTAAGATCCGCACGAGTGCGTCTAGCCGCTAGGCCACGGTGACTGCCCCCCCCCCCCCCCCCCCATAGGATTTGTTCTTTAATTTCTATACTGAAGGAAGCAGGGTGCTGGGAGTGGGGGGCACAATGTTAGGCTGCCAGCGGTTAAAGGTCGCGACGACGCAAGACTTAAGTGGGTCGTTGTTAGAAGAGATCAAAGGCGGCTACTAAGATTTGTTGTTCTTTGAATTCTATACTGAAGGAAGCAGATTTCTGGGAGTGGAGGCGAGCTTAGAAATCACCAAGAGGATTGTTTAAGAGAGCCTCGCCATCATCGTCATCCTCATAATCGTCTTCGTCGTCATTTTAGTGCTTACTATTAACGTCAGTCATAATCATTACTGTCGTCATCATAATCATTTTTGTGTCTCTGTGTAGGTTCTGGCGTCACATTTCCAGGCGAAAAAGAAAAGACTGCCTCAAATAAAAGTATGTCGTAAAAGGCGACTAGATAGGTGTTGGATAAAATCGGAGGTGCTGAGCTGAAAGGCTAATAAATTGCAGCCTAGCTTTAAACAACAACTTTAATTTCAACTGGCTAATTTTTTTAAATGTAGTCGAACGCAGGAAAAAAATAAGAGCATTTGCAATCATCATTATCATCATCATCATCATCATAACAATCATCGTCATTACCATCTTCTTTGTCTTCATCACCAAAGTCGTTGTTATCGTCTCTATCGTCATTACTATCTTGTTTGTCTTCATCATCAAAGTCGTCGTTATTATCTCTATCGTCATCAACATCTTCCTTGTCCTCACCATCAAAATCGTTATCGTCTCTATCTTCTTCGCCATCTTTTTTGTCCTCATCATCAAAGTAGTTGTTATCATCTCTATCGTCATCACTATCTTCTTTGTCCTCATCATCAAAGTCGTTTCTAATCTATATCGTAATCACAGTTTTCTCTGTCCTCATCATAAAGTCGTTGTTTTCGTCTCTATCACCATCTTCTTTGTCCTCATCATCAAAGTCGTTGTTAACGTCTCTATCTTCATCACCATTTTCTTTGTCCTCATCTTCAAAGTCGTTCTTATCGTCTCTATCGTCATCATCATTTTCTTTGTCCTCATCATCAAAGTCGTTCTTATCGTCTCTATCATCACCATTTTCTTTGTCCTCATCATCAAAGTCGTTCTTATCGTCTCTATCGTCATCACCATTTTCTTTGTCCTCATCATCAAAGTCGTTCTTATCGTATCTTCATCTATAAAGTCGTTCTTATCGTCTCTATCGTCATCACCATTGTCTTTGTCCTCATCATCAAAGTCGTTTCTAATCTATATCGTAATCACAGTTTTCTCTGTCCTCATCATAAAGTCGTTGTTTTCGTCTCTATCGTATCGGCGGGGGGGGGGGGGGGGGAGGAAATAGACCCACTGCCCCCTCACAAGCATGTCGTAACAGTCAGCTAATTAGGGATATATCCTTAGGAGACTGAGTACATATGCTTGATATGAAGGAACGACAGCTTGCATACATAAAGCTAGATCTGTAAGAACGAATGATCACGCAAAACTCAAGTTATGGAACAAGAGTAACGTTTAGAAGGGAATGAAACACCAGAACTTTCCTTCTGAATTCACAGCCGGTGAACACTACGAAGAAGAAAAAGAAATCCATCGTCGTAATCATCTACATCATCGTTATCAACACAAATCAGGCTTGCGTGATCACACTCGGCGTGTCAACCATGCATGAACATCTTGGACAGGGCCTGAATTCTGGTCTCGATTCCGCCACATGAACAAGCACAGCTGCACGTTTTATCTAGTACTATACAGTTTTGTTGCACT